GTTGATTACCTCGAAAAATTGAGATTTGTACGTTTTATCGTGAATTTTCAGGTCCACGTAATGGAAATAATCGAAGCTCGGCAATGTTTCTACCCCGTAGTTCTTAAATAAGTTATATTGTCTACGTAGTCAATCCATTTTTCAGCAATTTACTATATATTTGTGCACGTATACTGGTGATATTAAATATTACGGATATCGAGTATGCTTTTAATGCTTTTCTGTTAAATAATAATGATATTTCAGAATATTTTCGTTTACCTCCGAATAAATAATTCATTCAAACGAAACTGTCTTTCGAATGTTATTTTTTTCCCATTGGTTAAATATGCATTCCATTTTTTGAATTATCCAAATATTTTCACTAGTTAACGAGTTGTGTTTTTAAATCGTTTTACATGTAAATATATTTTACTTAAATATCGTGCTTTTTAGCCAAGCATTGAAATTATGTTTATTAAAGGGCTTGGGAAAATATCGTGTTTGAAATTCATTAAAATTTCATCAAATTATCCTGATTTTGAACAAAAGCAAATGATTTTTGATTACTTATTACAATTAAACTCTTTACTTCACAGAGAGAAGACGTCGTTTTATTTGTCTTTAGCTAGATGATGACGCTTTTTCTCTCTCTCTATCTCCCAAGAGTCCTCTTCTTCTGTTTTCTAACCTCGTTAAACTTCGATTTACTTGCTGTGCGCTTTAACAAGATAAAAGCAAACCCGAATTTAACGTATTTGCATCAAATCTACGTTAGAGCGTAGTTTACTTTGCGATTTAATGGATATTTCAATGAATTAGAACGCTACTTGATATCAAATCGGAGTAAAAACGTATTATTTCATTTTATTCTTTTTTTTTTCCGTTCAGCTTATTTCTATACAATAAATACATTTATATTCCATTAGCGCGTTTTACTAATAATAATTAGCATTTCAACATTCGGTGAAATCGTTGGCCTAGAAAACAAGGATGCGCATATCTACGTACACGTATTTCAAAAATAAAGGACAAGGTGCTTTTAAAAGTGTAAGATTATTTTTCCATCAGAATAAATGGACGTAAATAACAAAGAGGATAAACCATGGATAATGCAAAATGTGTTTTCGTTCGATATTCTCCCGCTTTCGGTTTTTCTTTTTAGTCTCGTTAAAGCCCTTCGATACGTAGAAGACATAGTATATATCTATTATAATATATAAGTGTGTTACTTCCATTTGTTTCGTCTAAGTAAGAAAAACCCTAACGCAAAATGCTGAGACCAGCTGGGTCCGTCATTTCGTGCCTGGATCAATCGCTAGAGAGAATGATAAGAAACATGATGGACGAGCTGTTATCGGCACGCTCTCGTTGACGGGATGACGATCTCGACGAGAAGACCAAAATTATTGTATAATAACACTTTAATGAATCTTCAAAATTGTCGTGGAAAAACAGCAAATCGTTTTATCGTTTCTTTTCCAATCAATTAATTAATACCTGCGTCAACTGTTTCCTTTACTTTTACACCTCTTATTTTTACGATCAATTATAATAACATAATATCTTTCCGACACGTGTTTTTTTTATCTTTACATACTTACACTTTTCAATTACTTTATAATTCTACAATAATATTTGAGATATTCGTCTTTAAACATATGGGTATGTATATTGGATCGTTATACAAATTTTCATTTATTTTATATGAACTTTTGTCGGTCGTGTTAAATTTTTAATTGGTCGTGCAATTATTGCTGTTACTTTATACGCAAAAATTTGCAAAATAATATACTAACCGTAGTCTACCAGTTTAGTAAAAATAATATTGAAAAACATTGGAACCTCGATACCATTACAAACAAATATGCTGTATGTATCATATATCACGTCAAAAAAATTAATAACCGATGTTTTATATATCAACTGACGCGCTTAATTAAATTTATTCAATTTTTTTTTGGTTGCTTTTCATAATAAGATGTAAAAAATATTGAAATTTAATAAGACTCGAACGAATAGATTGACATATTATATTAATTCGTAGTTTCGTTCTTCTTGAAATATTGAAATGCATTGTGTGTTTCGAGAGGAAGATGTCGGGGGCGGGGGGGGGGGGGGGGGGGTGGTAGGGAAGGTTAACCAAATTTAAGATATCTTCTTTTTCGTAGCAGGTTCCGTTCGAATGTATAATTAATCGGTATCTACGGAGTGAGCAGACAAGGCCGACAGAAAAATCGACATCCTATCGCGATGACGGATGGCGGCCGAATCGACTCCCATCCTCGTTCGTTTACGTATACATATAATACATATATACATGTATAAGGGCGCATATTATATAGAGTCCATATAGATTTCTCGGTAAACGCATACACAGAGAGCCGTACAGGTACCAATACGCATAGAAGATATAGCGCCGAGTTATCTATTAAATATTCAATTATTTCTGTCTTCCGCCTCTGACATTTGGAATTCGCCCAACTGCCCCGAACCCGTCGTCTCGTTGCAGAGCTTAATCCCTATTCATAGAACCAATCGGGCGATTTCGAACAAATCCTTCGAGCGTTCCGCTAAATCCGCTGCAATTAAAATACTTTAATATCCTTTGAAGCACGTACCTGCCTCGGGCTTCGTCTCTCCCACTCGGTAATTCTTTCCATCTCTCTTTCTTCCTTCATAAATTCGTCCTTCTGCTTCCCTCTAGTCGGGGGCCCTCAGTCGGCGGCCCTCAGTCGGCGGCCCCCAGTCGGCGGCCCTCCTCCTCCTCCCMCCCCCCCCCTTCCCGGCAACCATCGGCCAGAGAACTTTCCATCGCAGATTCTTTTTGGAACGGTTGCTCTTATTAAACGTCCCAATCGAGATGCCCCGAGGAACCAGCACGTTCGTTTCCTTTCAAAGCGTTCTTTGCCAAAGCTATCCCGAGAAAATTTTGGGGTCTTCAATTTCTCGGACGGATCGACGGGAATATGAAGAACCGTTGAATAAACTCTGGGACGTCCAATCTTCGTGGTAAATGTTTTTCCACTCCTTTCTTTTCTCTCTCTCTCTCTCTCTCTCTCTCTCTCTCTCTCTCTTGTTCCCTCCCTCTATCATAAACGAACTATTTTTATATGTTTGCTCGACTTCCTACACCAAAAATCGTGAGGGGCCTGTAGAAATGGCCAGTTCATTTATAACGCGACGGAAATTGTTCCCTCTTACGTAAGGGAATTGAACAAAATAAAGATTGACAAAATTGAAAGAGGGAATGATATAGATAGTATCATTTGTCCGCGATGGTTTTTAAAAGGTACGTATTGTTATCGCAACGAAATTCAAATTTATTCGCTTGGCATACGTTTCATTATTTTTTCATTTATTTCACTCAAAGATTTAGGAACGACTCTCTCTCTCTTTCGAGAATCACTTCAAAAGCAATGTAACCTAATTTTACGAACGTATGTGCGTATATAATATAAATGAAATGAATTTTTTCGTTGGAATAAAAATTGAAATATATATATATGTATATTTATGATATTAATTAACGTGGATTTCTAATAAGCAAACGATGCAATAGGAAGAGGAAGTAATAGGAACAATGGAACATCATAGGAATTCGATGATCTGGCAAAGGGCGGTAGGAAAGGGATAACGTAAAATCACGATGTAATATTCGTGTCATAAAGCACCCTGTCAGTTCGAACGAAGACAAAAATTTATCACTGTTCGGCCGAACGATTTGTCAGGGATGATACGTTTGGTCGAGGGACATTTCGCGAGAAACGTACGGGAGCGTCAGCTGTGCGAAACCGCCCAAGGGGTAGGAACCTCTATCCACTCCCGAATCGTTGTTCATTCTAAGGCACCATCATATATATATTGGAACGGTACCAGCGAATTCATAAAGTCCTCGTGTACGAAAAGATTTAAATCTTTCTGCTATAGAGCATCGTAACTATTGTCGAAACTTTTTATTTTCCATTTCTGAGTTTTCTATATTTTCTATTATCCTCCTCGTCGTTCTCTTCGTAAATCTTTTATAATTCTTTTGATTGATTTTACGTGTTGCAATATGTGAGACGTTTATTTTGAAAGTGGCCTAAGTCCATTTATACTTAAATTCAGATATTTAAGGTTTTGTGTTTCAATGCAATTAAAAATATACGTACAGAATACCAATGAGTTATGCTGCTTAAGTGTATCTAAAGGTGTTCAATTTACAGTTCCTATTAAAATAATGACAATTATTAAGTGAATAATATGCGTTTTCTTAACGAGAATGGAGTTAGGCCACTTTCTAAATTAACAACCAGATTCGTTATAAAATTTGAAGGAACCATTAAACATAATTTAAGATGTTTCACAAATTGAAAAAATAATCTATCTTTTTATTTTTACAGAGAAGATTAAAAAATTAATAGAATTGTTTAAATTATTAAGTCATAGAACATGCATTACTGGCCATTTCCGACCTATTTTGGGAAGGACTTATTATTAGAAAATAATTCATAAGAGCACGAGCACGCGCGATGTGCATTCGAGAGTCTGGTGGAGCAGATATTAAATAATATTTAGTAAAGCCGGGGTGAAACGTTTCTAAATATTGTACGATATATCGCGTAATATTAATATCAACAGATTTGATTAATTTTATCAAGCTATATACATTATGAGAGAGATAATAATATATTTAATAACATACACTTTAATATTTTATAGGATATTGAGAGGAGCGATAACGTCAATTCCATTTATTCGATTCGAGTAGATTATTGGATTGAGTGTTTGTTGGCAAATGATAAGATCGGCGAAACGTTGATGCGAATAACATCATTTCTGATTGAACTTTGAAAAAAAGCGTCATTAGAGTGTCGTTAGGGAATAGAAGAAAAAGATTTTCTTCGAGAGGAATAGCAGACATAGGGAGGGAAAAAAAATCATCTACGCGTTTACGTGTAAATCTTTGGACCACGGTTGGATTATACATAGGTCTATAATTCGTCCCTGTATTGAGAAGGTTTTCACTCGTGTTTCAGACAATGGACTACTTCCCGTCGAGCAGAGCGATGACGGATGGTTGAACTTCACAAAAATCACTCGTGCCGAGAGCGGCTGGTACAAATGTTATACTCGGCACATGCTCGGGATTTTCACCAGCATCGGTTATTTCCTCAACGTTCGCTGTGAGTAAAACGTTACTGTATCATAGAATTAATCGATCGATCATCAACGCAGCTTGAAATAGGGGAGTTGGGAGAGAACCAAAGTCTCGTTAAATGGTTACATCAAGCTCGTCCCCAGTACTCGATGAAACGTGAATATCTATTCACGTTGCAAGCTCATCTCGTCATTTGCATCGTCATTTCACGACTGTACCACCACAACGACTGTACCACCACAACGACTGTACCACCACAACGACTGCACCACCACCATCACCGCCACCAATGTACATCGTATGTTCCGTATGCTATCGAAGGAGGAGGAATTATCTATTAACCCCTCGATAACTACGTCTACTACTACTGCTCGAAATACTTTAATCCCCGAACGTACGGCTCTCGTATTATCGGCTTCTCTTCGCTTATTAGTGACCAGTAAGCTCTCGCGGAGATAGGAACGTATGGAAAGCAATTCGTAGTGTGTAGCGATAATTGGAGAGGTAGTAAGTTGTCTTCAACGAGGCGATTCGAGTATACGTATGTATAATTTGATGCAAATCAGGAATTAACCTCCGAGAAATAAAAGGGAAAGACCAAATTGTTATCTATTTTTATTTGACCTATCAAATATTGATTCTATAATAATACGATACTTTCTTTGTCAATACACCAAATTCACCACAAATTATCTTCAAACATTTTTGCTTTGTCCACCGGAAGGATAGAATGAGCGTTTTAGTTAACGGGCCCAACAGGATATGCGTAGCAACGGCATGAATAGTAGGAAAGCGTCAACATCGGCACCTTCAAATTCTTAGATATTTTTCGGAAAAATAGCTTGCGAACGAATTCAAGATCTTCGCGTCGTCGGTTCTCTCTCTGGAACGTCGTATTTCATGAGAAAGCTCGTAAATATGTCGAGATACCGTTATTTCGAAATATCGTTCGGATCTTCGAGCGTTGTACGAAGAAAAATCAGAAAACCTCGATTGTAGGAGTTGTTGCACGCTCGAACGAAAGATGCGATGGCACGATTATTTTCTATAGTAGCTCGATGGCTGTTGTACAATAACTCATAAAAGAGGTTAAGATCTTAGATCCTTGGTAGATAGACGTAGAAAAGGATCGTCTATTAGAATTTCATTTCGTCTCGTCATAACTTTTATTTCGTATTTGGCTATTCCAATTCTCGAATAGATTTTCGTTGATTCGAAATGCGAAGGTGGTCGTCGCGTCGACCGATAACCGGAAACCACAGTCATTTGTCAAGGGTGGAAACCACCGAGGTAACCGGAAATTATCCGTGCCTCGTCGTGAAAATTTGCAAATTTCCTACCTGGTCCCGAACCAGTCTCGTTATAACTAGAACGCGACCCTTGCATCTCAAAGCTCTTCCAGCCTCTGCATTTCCCAACCTTCTCATTCCTCTTTTCTCTCTCTCTCTCTCTCTCTCTCTCTAGTTCTATATCCATGGTACGTTCCACTCTCGTCTGTGTTTCCTCGGCCGACGATCCGGGATACGGGTTTCCGAGTAGCTAATCTCTACGCAATTTGGATGGTTCGCGAGTGCCTGTAAACTAACTGCTACTCCACGATGGGAATTATCGATTACATGGATAACTCTGTCCCATACGGATCTCCTCGTGGATTACTTATCCATGGATTAAGTTACTATGATACGCGCTTTCGGCTTAAATTTCGAATCACGTGCGATTTCGAGAAGGATAAAGGACGAGGAAGTACGACAATAACGATCGCAACTTAACTAGATTTGTTCTAACGACGATGGGATATTTCTTCCTATCATCTCTATTTCACCTCTATTTCACCTCTATTTCACCTCTATGTCATTTTTCTTCACGAGAGAGAAATTCACATAGGAAGAGAAAATGACTGCGAAACGTTGTCAAAGTATTTCGCAGACAATCGTGAAACTAGTTAAGTCAAATTCCTTTCTTCGGTTCTTTCCTCCTTCTCGTGTCTGCCTTTTACTTCATTTCTGCTTGTTTAAAGCGACACTAGAGCGTGTTTGCCATAAAATTCTGTACAAACTGCAAGACAAACGAGTTGTAAGGGCTGGAGAAACGTAGAAGAAGAATGGAAGGGGTAAGTTAGGATAGCTCCTATCGTCTCAGTCAGAGTACTTTGATCCCTTTGTTTTGCTATAGGATGAGCCAGAGGATCAGCTTGCTAACTCAAAGGACTCTTTACACTCCCACATCCCGGAATAGTAGTATTTTCTCATTTTTCTTATTTCATCGTCTCGAGCGAATTCCAACGTACCAACTCGGCTCCAATTCTCAAGCAGCGAGAGAGCTAGCTGATTTCTCTCCGTTCCCCTCGATTCGTAGTTGTGTGGACACAGCGTTAGCTGAAGAGCAAACGATCGCAGTCGTATAATTCTGTAGTAGGTAGAATCGGAAAAGGAGGTGGGCAAGGCGTGGTGTTTTAGAGTCGCGGCCGCGTCCTATAGAAAGGATACTCGGCACGCTATGGGGAAGGAGGAGGAATCGGGCAAAACCATTGCTCCGAGTTTATCCTCCGTACGTGCGGTTGGTTCCTGATGCCGCAGGATAGCGTTGATATCGATGAGAATGGCGGTCCGTTGTCGACACTCAAAGTGTATTTCACCGTCACTGACGGAATAGGATTTGGACCTTGGCTGCTATGCGAAAACTTTTTCTTCCTAAGCTTTTCCATGGACTCTTCCTTCTTTATTTCTTTTTCTTATTTTCTTATTCGACCAAAAGAGAGAAAGAGAAACGCGCAGTAATTTTTTAAAAGAGTATGCAGTATGTATGTATTTTACTTTGGCGAACCATCCTCGAGGATAGGTTTTCCATAGGTTAACCTCCTCTATTTCTAATGCAACGTTCTTCGCCGCTCGTCGAGAGATTTAAATCAATGGCATTTAGATGATTCAGATATCGAGACCGAGGCAGAAGCCCTGAACGGAGAAGCTACCGATTCGAGGAGGAAGGAGGTGCAGATCGGCGGAGCGGTGACTCTCGAATGCGACGGCGGATGCTGGGGTCACGGACCTGGAATGGATCCAGTCGGTGGACCAGGACGTCTTTTCTTGAACCGAGTCGTCTACCAGGAAGCAGGAGAGTACAGATGCGTTGCGCCCGATCGAAAAATGCAGGACACGTGGCGAGCTCAGTTACCCTATCACATTAAGGTCACCGGTGAGTAACGCTAAATCTTTTCTCCCTCCTTGTTTTTCCACGAAATCAATTAGATTCTTCTTTTTTGTATAGTTATTTGATTACCTTTATTTGACACCTCGTTCGATAGGTAGCTTCTTTGACATTTCATCGTCGTATTCCAATTTGAATTCTATTACAATATATCGATGGATAAACAAAGCTACTCGCCAAGTTTACACCTCGCATTGAATTTTCTCTCACGCCTTGTCTCCTCTTCGGAAAACTAATGGAAAGGACAAAATGTGACACTGCGAAGCCTTTGAAAAATATTCTTCTTGTTACGAACGCGTCGAAGGTCTCAGGAGTCTTTTCCACGATATCGAATATCTTCTCCATCTTTCTCTTTTCATCGTGTCATCGTTACCCTAAGCAACGAAGCCGGATACTCGTTTATTCTTCCTTCTCTTTTTCTCTTCTTTTTCCTTCCTGTCCTATTTACGCGTCGATGATGGATGCAGAATCCTCCTCGTTCAACATTTCCCTTCTAACCAATCGCCATAGCAATTCCGGCTTCTTATTGATTGCGGCTCAGGCAACTCGTGCGTGTAAGGTGCTGGCTCGTTCTCGGCCCTAAGCTCGGCCCTAAGCTCGTACCTAAGCTCCACAGAAGATCGAGAGAGCTTTTTACGTCCTTTCCGACTGGAATGAAAAGACACGACGTTGCTCGTCAAAATGATTTCTTTTTAAGTCCTCTCCTTTCGGATTATTTCAATATTCCATTTAACCGCCACCAACACCCTCGACGACCTCTTACTGCCATCGTTCCCATAACGCATAGCACGTCTTGACTGATCGACAAAATAAAACGACGACAAATTCTATGCTTTTATTCGACTTTTCTCCTGCCACTTTATCTTTCTTCCCTTTTCTTTTGATTCTCTTCTTTCTTCGATTTACTTTCCAAACCATTTTCTCATCATTTCTTTCTACTTTCCCCCACTTATCTTCCCTTTTGGATTTTACCAACATCGATTGTTTTTCTCTCTTGCATCGTATTCCGATATTGTCCTAGACTCTTTTTTTTTTGTTTTTTTTTTTTTTTTCGAAATATCCAATAGAAGTTAAAATACTTATCGAGCAATACAATTTCTAGGAGCACCACGAGTATACGTACCGTAGGTAAACGCACGAAATCGAGGAAGGAAGTCGTTCATCATCGCGTACAGATCGAGAGAGAATCCAATCGGATTTCTATGTATCCTCGTTATACAAACGACATTATTTTTTCTTTCCTCGCACGGGAAAATCTTAACGGGAAAATCTTTACGCGAAAATCTTTACGCGAAAATCAATATCGTTGTTCCATTTTGTACCGGCACGAGCTAGACTCGAAGGAAATGCAAATGCGTACTTGACAAAAAAGAAGATCTTTCAGATAATCCTGGATATTCTTGATTCTATATCGACCCTCTCGACTTAATGTACTTTTCTACGACGTTTATCCGATATCTCTCTATCTCGTTTGAGTATAATTCGTTCGACCTATTCCAACTTCTTTCAACATTTTTCAACTTGGAAGACCGAACGAACAAACTAAACCAGTCGAAAACTGAAAGAACGAGAGATGACGTTACAAAAATGAAATATTATACGTTTTGACAATTTTTATAAGCTTTTTCTTCTATTTCTTTTTTTTTCTTGCGGCTCTTTAATACGACGAAATCTTGATGGAATCCTAGATATTTATTCGTCCTAACTTTCATTCAATTTCTATGAGAATTTCAGTCGATATTCCATCGTTACGATCGATATTCCAAAGAAATTGCATGTGCAGTTTGTCGAGTGTGAGAGAGAGAGAGAGAGAGAGAGAGAGAGAGAGAGAGAGAGAGAGAGAGAGAGAGAATGAAAGAATGTAAAGAAAAATTGAAGGAAAATCTAAAGGGACTATAAAACTGTCGCTTACTGAAATTGTGTTTGCTTTTCCGTATGTTTTATTTCGTGCGTTATTTTTAGCGAATTCGAGCGCGTTGTATGTAAAATGAAAGTACTTATGGGATAACTAATCGAACGATCAATTAAAATTAAATAATTGATTTCATTTATATATGTCTGTATTCAAAAAATACACGATGTTTATTACATTTTTTGCTTAACGGTGATAAAAGAAATTATTTCGTTGAGAGAAAAATTGTATCGACGTTAATTAGATGTGCATATAGATGCAAAGATTTTGTTAATCGCTTAACAATAGAATTAATTAGGTTCCCACGTTTATTCCGCGTCACGAAACACAATCGTGCTTTTACTAAAATAACGGAATTATTATTATCGATAAACGCGGATTGATTTGCAGAACAAGAAGAAATAAAAGTCCTCTTTGCGTTTATCATTTTTAGAGTGGCTTGTTTCGATTATCTACAAACGATTGTTGATTATTTTCAAAGTCTCACCTGTGCGACGTCGTGTAAATCTCGAGAGGGAAGCAACACCGCTTACTTTTTATTGCAAACGAAGAAAGAAACAAAAAATCACATTTTCCCGAGTCATCGTATCTCGTTGAATTCATAAGTACGAATTAAACAGTGGGACTTTTATTTCGAAACGCGTCTGCCGTATATAAAGTATATCTCATTTTATTCAACAAATAAAAATCTTTCTACTCTTTTCGTAATAATTATAATTATAAATTGTATAAACATTAATTATACAAAATGATATTTTATTAATTTACCCTTAGTCTCTTGTTCCTTAATTAAATCAATCATTTTCTATATTGCGCGAGCTAAATTGTTGAATATTATTAATGAAATTTTCCTAAAATAAAAAAGGGTATTTCAAGAGTAACGCGATGAATTAAAAGAAGAAGAAGAAGAAGAAGAAGAAGAAGAAGAAAAAAAAAGAATAAAAAAAGAAGGAAAGGAAGGAAGTGGAATCCGAGAGGACACAGCGGGACGTTGGGTGGTTCGTTCGAGTCGGGACAGGACTCGTTAAGCCTTCGTTAAATCTTCACGACGTGCTGGACCAAAGCGTATCACATTCTTCCGTTCCCCTTTTTTCTTCGTTCGTCGACTTCGCGAGCGGATTACGGAACGGCGAGCGACGACGGATTCCAAAGTTACACAATAAAACCTTAACGCATCGTAGAGTTTTCTCATAAGTGGCTTTTGCCGAGTTATCTTCGCCATCCGGATTTCTTTCGGCATGCTCGATAAAACGGCAGTTACATCGAACGTGCCCGGGGCGTATTTCGATACCGTCTATTTCCACCTTGTTATTTGGCTAACCTTTTTCTTCCGATAAAAAAAAAACAAACATCTATTTATCTCTTTTTTCAAGTCGAATTTAATCGACCAAACTCACTTTCTGATATCGTACCAATCCTTTTTTATTTGTTATATTTGTCTCGTTAATGTAAGTCAAAATAAGAAACTTTGATACCACGATTACATTTACATTAACTTGTAAGTAATTCCGTCTAACGTGAAAGGAACAATCTTGTAAAACCTTCCTATCCTATCCTTTTATTTTTCCCTCTTACGCTATGTTAAAACGCATGAATAATTCCGCGCTGGTGTTTTATCACTTTGTCAAGATGCAAATTAATTTGCCGGCTCGGTATCGGACTCTGAGCCATGCGAACGTTTCATAAAAGGATCGGCTAGGTGTTTGAATGATTTACAAGAGGGATACGCGTAAGGGATCCGCCAAGAACAAAGGCATGATTCCGTGATCAAAGCGTTGGAAAGAAGAAAGAAGGATCCTATCGTTGAGGATACAAGTATACGATCCTTCTCTCTCTCTCTCTCTCTCTCTCTCTCTCTCTCTCTCTCTCTCTCTCGCACGCGTACACACGCGAATTCATTCTCACAGGCGTGCCGTGAATTTTTTAATAAGTCGAAATTTCACTCGAGGCATTGTAAACGATAGTGGCGCGAAATTAATCGAACGCCAACGAACAACCCTGGATTGGCTTCTACCTTTTAATCTACGTCACGCTGCGAGGAATACTTGGATTCTGTTTTCCTTGATTCTACTCCGTTCGACGGCTTTTTAGAATTCTTCTACCATCTCTCTTTTTCGCGCAATTCAGTTTGCCCCTTTCTATATATATATATATACCTTTGCGATATTCTTTCCTTTTTCGGTTAACATTTTTAATACGATTTTAAGTAAAGTAGCCACGAAAACAGACTACCAAATGAAACGTGTGTCTTTTCCCAGTCTTTGCGACTAATTAAAAAGATCCTCGTGGTATTGCCCTCGTTGTATATTTTTTTTTCGCGATATAATATTCGCGTGCATGAAATTGCTCGATGTTCGTCGTTTTCGAATCGACGAATACAGCTGTTTGAGAAAATTGGCACGTTTCTCTCTGAAACTGTCGAACGGTTTTTCTAACGATAACAAGGGAAATACCAGGAATCGGAGTGAACGCATAAAAGAAAAAGAGTATCCGCAATGCCCTATATGCGACACTTGCTGGGACATGGTAAAAACAAAAAAAAAAAAAAAAAGGAAACGTTTGAAAGGCGAGTAGGGTGAGATTCGAGGAGAAACCGTAAAAAGTACAACAAATTGTAACACTGGATACACCACGTACACCCATGGGAGACGAAACATTTCGGGCAAAAACGAGTATAGCAAATTGTAAAGGGATGGAGAGAAGGGTGGATGAGAGGGACGTAAACGGTGAAACGTCGACCGCCACTGTTACGCCTAACTGTAAAAATCCTCGAGTTGTCAATAAAAATTGCTGTCTAACGAGGCAAAGTCCCGGAAAACACGAATCCTCCGTTCGGTGAGTTTATTTCAACCCATCCGATACAAACATAACCGAGAGAATCCTTTTTTTCAACTCTTACGCGTTTATATTATTTTATTCTGTATTTTTCTTCAACCTTTCGGATGAAGACAAACCTCGAATTCAGTTTCGCTTTTTGTTTGCTTTATCAATTTTCTTTCCTTTTTATATAATATTTCTCTTTTGTTTTCTCTCTCTTTTCTTTCTTTTCGTTTACGCTTCTCGTTTTACGTTTTCT